GTCTAGAAGTTCTGATCCTAATCTGAAGGATGATGTTCCTATGCACATTGTGCCAAGCTAGTGCGCGCCATTCGAGCCTCACTTGATGCTGAGGTATACAAATAAGTTATATTTATGATATGTAAACATACAAATCATATTTACATACTTACATTTGTTGAACCTGTTATAGAAAATTGCAAGTAGGAACGCTAAAAATCGGCGAGCTCACGGTATAGCTCATACCACAGGGCGTACTACTTTCTCTCAGATCCGACATGAGGTTTACATTTTATTGTTTTATTTTTGTATATAAATAAACATTGTATATTTGCAAATTATTTGGATTCTAATTTTCATATTTCTAAAAAAATAATTAGATGACCAGTAAGGGGGAGTCTACTGATAAGATGAATGTTTGGCTTATGACACGTAGAGTAGATGACCCAGAGGTTATCCAGACCTTGGTAGTTTCCAAACACCTTTGATTGTATTTAAAGTTTATTTTTTGTGTGTCAACCATCTTAATTTCGCGTATACTTGTGTGTCTTATTCAATACAGGATGAGTTTAATCGTCAACTCTCTATGCTACCTGAGGATGGTCGGACTTTGGAGGCTCGGAATGCCATTTTCCATGAGTTGGTAGGTCATGACGGACATGGATATTGTCGCACATACGGGAGAATTGTGCCTCGGAGAGTAGTGTATAAAGATGGTGCTGGGCCATCACAGTCAACGCCCCAGCCATCGACTATTGATCAGATCACGCAGCAAGTTCGTGCAGAGCTAAGGGATGAGTTGAGGGAGGAGCTGCGAGCAGAGTTCTCTACACATTCACAACAGATGAGAGCTGAGATGATGGCCCTTGTGTCACGGGGGGCGAGTGTGGATCCCAACTGACAGGTTCCATATAAATTAAATTGTTTGATAGTTTAATTTTCACTCAAGATTATGTATAAAATTCGAATATGATTAACACATTATGCATTGACTAACATAGGTTCCTGATGCATCGAGTGGCCACCGGGAATTTAGGGAATCTGCAGAAGACGAGAATCCATATACACCACCACCAGAAGATCAGGTATAAAATGTATCTTTGCATTCTAAGCTAAAATGCATCTTTGCGTTCTTTACTTGAATTCGAGGCGTTAACGCCCCAAAATCACCAAACGGCGTCGGTTTAGCACGAAACTTGGCACACACGACCGCTTAGTCACTAGAGACTTGTGGGAGAAGACGGGGCTCGAATCGGGTTCCCGGTTTGGGAGTTAGAGCCAGATTTCGGTCTAGTCAAAATTATTTACTAAACTATCTTTCTAATTATATAGTATTCAATTTTTTTTTTTATATTTTTCTGTAATTAAAATATTAACACCATTATATGGTTATTAATTATTTTTATCTTGTTTTTTTCAGATATTTCCTGAGTAGCAGTTTGCTTCTTGTGGAATGCGGGCGTATAAAGATTATGACCAACTTTTGTTTTTGTAACCCACGAAAGAATCAAGACGAAAACTTTTGGTTTTGATTTTGATTTATGTTATTTAAATTTGTGAACAACATTATGTATGTATTATGCGACATTATGTAGTGGCATAATTTTTATTGTTATGAATTTTTATTTATGTATTGTTATGAATGGAACAACATTATGAATTTTCATTATTTGTCAAATTTTGTTTATGTATGTATTTATATTATTATGTAAATGTTGGATATTTTATTGTTATTTTTCATTTAATACAGGTTATTTTAATTTTTTTAATAATTTCCCAACAGGTTTTTTTTTTTTTTTTTTTTTTTTGAGACGGCATAATAACCCGTCGCAAAAACATTTTTGGAATGTACGAGGCTTTTGCGACGGCACCCATACTGTCGCAAAAGCTATGGAATGTAATTGAAAAATAAACCTTTAGCGACGGCTCAGATTGCCGTCGCCAATAGTTATCAGCTATGACTCTTTTAGCGACAGTATTCTTGCCGTCTCAAAAAACCCATTTTAGCGACGGAAATACTGTACCGTCGCAAAAACTCAGATTTTCTTCACTTATTGGTGACAGAAAATTGCCGTCGCAAAAAAAGGCACTCTCCCGTCGCAAAAAACAATGGCGACGACACTTACCATCGCTAAAACCCTTTTGCAACCCCCTTTGTCGCGACCCCCACTTGCCGTCGCAAAAAGTATTAGCGACGGCGTATGGGGCATTTGCGACGGCGTTTTGCCGTCGCAAAAAGCACTTTTTTTGTAGTGTTTAAAAAATGGTGAAACACCAATAAATCTCAAAATATGATTTTATGAACTGTTTAGTCCTTTTTTTCTTATGGACTCAAAAGTCCCATTAAAATGAAAATTACATAAAAGAGTAGTTCCTTTCATGTTTGAATTTAATTTTTGAGGAATAAAAGTGGGTTTCTCAAAATGTAAAATTATATATTTTGACAATTTACACTATAGAAGTTTTGGATCTTCCCTCATTCTGGAACAAATCCCACAATATGAACAAAAACATAACACTATAATATAACACTCCAATAACGTAACACATTAATGTAGCACACTAAAAAATTTATTGGTGTACTTTTCCCAAACGTAACAACGTAACACTAAAAAAAAACTCTTTGGTGTATTTTTCCCAAACATCACGCTTCAATGTAACAAAAAAAAAATTTCTTAGTGTATTTTTTTCAAACGTAACATTCTAATCAGTGTAATCCCAAATGTAACACTCCAATGTAACACACTCCAATGTAACACACAAAAACACTAAAAAAACTTCTTAATGTACTTTTTTCAAACGTAACACTCTCAGTTTGAAATTATACATTTGTTCAAAACTTACTAAGAAATATTTGTACTCATTTTGGAATGATTTGAAGAATCTCACATTCCTTTTTTTTTTTTAGTGTTGTATTGGAATGTTATGTTTAGAAAAAATACACTAAGAAATTTTTTTTATATTACATTGGAGCGTTACGTTTGGAAAAATTATACCAAAGAGTTTTTTTTTGCGTGTTACATTAAAGTATTAATCTAAGGAATTTTTTTGGAGTGTTATATTGAAGTGTTACGTTTGGAAAAAAAATACGTAGGGAGTTTATTTGTGTGTTACATTAGAATGTTACAATGAGGAGTTTTTGTGTGTTATATTAGAATGTTATACTAAGGAGTGTTTTTTAGTGTATTATATTAGAGTGTTACATTTGGGAAAAGTACACTAAAATTTTTTTTTGTGTATTACACAAGAGTGTTACACTAAGGAGTTTTCGTGTGTGTTACATTAGAGTATTACATTAAGGAGTTTTTTTGCAGTGTTATATTAAAGTGTTACGTTTGAGAAAAATACAGTAAGGAATTTTTTGGTGTGTTACATAAGAGCGTTACAATACTCCGGGGCCTGACGGGTTTAATTTGGTGTGCTTTCAAAAGTGTTGAAAGGTCCTCAAGGCTGATATCCTTCAATTCTTTAATGAATTTCATGAAAATGAGAAGTTAGTAGGGGCTATAAACAGCTCTTTTATCACTCTTATCTCTAAAGTTGATGGACCAGCCGAAATTTTTGATTATGGACCAATCAGCCTAATTGGGTCTTTGTATAAAATTCTAGCCAAAGTTCTTACTAATAGATTGGAACAGGTGGTCCATAGAGTGATTGGGAAGGCAAAATCTGTTTTCCTAGGGGGGAGGAATATTTTGGATGGGGTATTAACAGCAAATGAAGTGGTTGATTAGTGGAAGAGAAGCAGAAAAAAGGGCCTAATTCTAAAACTTGACTTTGAAAAAGCTTACGATTCTGTCAGTTGAGAGTGTTTGCTTTCTATGATGAACAAATTTGGGTTTGGGGATAAATGGCGGAATTGGATTGAGGAGTGCCTAACCTCAGCCAGAATTTCAGTCCTTGTCAATGGGTCCCCAACCCCTGAATTTAATCCAAAAAAAGGTTTTAGGCAGGGAGATCCAATGTCTCTTTTCCTCTTTAATCTTGTAACTGAAGGTTTAAATATGTTGTTGCAAAGGGCAAGATCAAGAGGCCTAATAACAGGGGCTGTGATAGGTCATGGTGAAGTTAAAACAACAGTAACACATCTTCAATTCGCTGATGATATGATAATTTTTTGTGAAGCAGATGGGGAGGAGGTGGTAATAATTAAAAGGATTTTGCGATGCTTTCAACTAGTTTCAGGCCTGAAGATAAACTTCCATAAGAGTCTTGTGTGTGGTGTTGGAGCGCCTGAGCAAGTGGTGGAGGAGTGTGCATCTAGACTGAATTGCAAAAAACAAAAGCTACCTATTATTTATCTTAGGTTGCCTTTAGGTGCCAATCCCAGACCAAAAAAAACATGACGACCTGTCATTGATAAGATGAAGGCTCGATTAGCATCTTGGAAGAGGAAGTTGCTGTCTTTTAGAGGTCGGCTTACCCTTATTAAATCTGGTCTATCCAACCTTCCTGTGTACTACTTATCTTTATTTAAGCTGCCCCAATCAGTAACAAAGGAAATTGAGAGTATTCAAGCAACCTTTCTTTGGGGATGGTCTGATTTAAAAAGAAAGATTCATCTTGTCAAATGGGATGAGGTTACCAAACGCAAAGATCAAGGTGGGCTGGGCATCAGAAGTGTCAAAGATATAAATGACTGTTTGTTAGCTAAATGGTGGTGGCGTTTTGGTTTTAAAGATAGTACTTTGTGGAAAAGAGTTATGTGTAGTGCGTATCTGTCTATGGGTGGGCGTTGGCTTCTTTAGACAAGCTATAGTGGCTATTACTCATCATTATGGGGTGGGATTTTGAATTTTGGACAGTCAAACCCTTTTTTACTGAGCCTTTTTCTGGAAAATTCACAGGTAGTTTGTGGGGAATGGGTGTAGAATTCATTTTTGGGATGACCATTGGCTGGGGAATCATTGTATCAAGAGTGATTTTTCTAGGCTCTATAGCCTATCATCTGAGAAGGATCTATCTTTGAGCATGATGATTGAAAGGAGAAGAACTCAGGCAGTTGGAACCTCAATTTTAGAATGCCTTTATATGCTTGGGAGTCTGAGGAACTGCTGAGATTATATACTACTTTGAATCAAGTGGAGTTGCTGACTTCAAGTAGGGAGGATCATTTGAAGTGGTTGGCATGTCCATCAGGTAAGTTTAGTGTCTCTTCTCTTTATAACCTGTTAATGCCTAAAAATTATATGATGGTTCCTAAGCTGCTGTGGAATAATATGGCTCCACCAAAAGTCCAATTCCTTAGTTGGTTGACTTGGAAGGGGAGATTGAAGACTGCTGGGTTTCTAAATCGCATTGGTGTGCTGAACCAAAATACTTTTGTCAACTGTGTGTTCTGTGGTCAAGCTGTGGAGACAGTAAACCATGTTCTTCTTTGGTGTCCTGCTGTTTGGAAGGTGTGGGCGTGCCTGATGAATTGGTGGGGGGTGCTCTGGGTGATACCTGATAATGTTAATGGGCTACTTCAGTGGTGGAGGGGATATAAATGGAGAAAGTTCGAAAATATAATTTGGAAGGCAATCCCGATGGCTGTTATGTGGTCATTATGGAACACTAGAAATGATGTGGTCTTTAATGGGAAAATGTTCCAGCTGAATGAACTCTGTGAATTGATTAAGGTGAGAATTGCTCTATGGGTTAAATCTCAGTCTAAGGAGCCTCCGTATTCAGTTCAGGATATTATTATTAATTTGCAATAGATCAAAGCTATTAGTTGCTGACAGTGTATTAGTATGATGGGGGTGTGGATATTCTGCAAGGGACGAGTGAAACTGTCTGTCGGTGTATTGATCTAGTTTAGGAGTATTGTAGCTGTCTGTCTATCTGTGTATGTAGGGTAAGATTGGTTGCTGCTGGGGTGATTCTGGTTTGGTCTTCTATCTGTTTGAGTTTGTTTTATTCGAGTGTATTGCAACTGTTGGATTTGCTTTGTATCATATTTGGTAGTTGGGGATTTATTTTTAGTGGTTTTTTCCTAGCTTGGTTTGGTCTCTCACTAAACCTTTGTGGTTGAGTTTGCATATGATGGGGCTCTCTTTTCGGTGCCAACCTAGTTGGGATTAGATTAGTTTGCTATGATGCTTGTGCTCTTCCCTCCCTTTTTTGATGTAATTTCATATGAATGTATGTTCTTATTCTCAATAAAGGGTTTTTTGCTGATCAAAAAAATAAAAATAAGAATTTTTTTTGCGTGTTATATTAGAGCGTAAGGAATTTTTTTTAAGTGTTATGTTGGGATGTTATGCTTGAGAAAAGTACAGTAAAGAGGTTTTTTTTATGTGTTACATTAGGATATTACACTAAGATTTTTTTTTAAGTGTTATGTTTGAGAATTACATTGGATAATTACAGTTTGAAATTATACATTTGGCCAAAATTTACCAAGTAGTTTTTGTACTCCTTTTGAAATATTTGAAAAATCCCACATCCTTTTGGAATATTTAAATAATCTCATATTTTAAGTCATTTTTATATTTTTTTTGAAATATTTTCTAAATAAAAAAATATATATAAAAATTCATCCTAAATTTGATTCCCATATATTGTGTACCAACCTTTCTAGCACAAAAGAAAAAAAAAGAGAGAGAAGGAATGTAATACAAATAAGGGTATAACCATAAATCTAATTTTTAAATAATATATTAGAAAAATACCATAAATCTAATTTTTAAATAATATATTAAATCTATTTTTCTAAAATCAATGGGACTAATTGGTCTATAAAAAAAAACCTAGGACTAAATGGATCACTATTTCTCAAAATAAGATTTATGAGTAAATTTTTCTTTAAAAAATAATATGATTCGATCATATATTTGTTAATATCCAATTATTTTAATTTTTACATAAATACATTATTTAACAAATTTCACAAAATAAATGATTCCAACCATTATAGTGAATATGAGATGGACCACCGCCCATCAAGACCTCTCTAATTTAATGCCCACATGGATAGAATCTAATCCCATACATATACATCCCATTCTAGGGTAACCCATGCAATGCACGGAAAAATTAAACTATATATATTTTGTGTGATAAATAAATTATTTTAATCTTCAATTATGCCTAAGCATAAAAAATTATTAATTATAAAAATGGTGGAGAGTAATAGTATCACAATCACTTGATAGTATAAACAACTTGTATCAAACTAAACAAAATATTAAAAAAGAGAAATTCTATAAACTCAGAAAAGTTATCATAAATTTACTTGGACTTTTAAATTAGTGGTATATATTATTATTGTGGGATCAAATTATGAATAAATATCAACTTTTAATTATACTTTATAAGTAGTTTTTTAAAAAAATTAATATAAGTTTGTTGCTTTGCTCATAAAAAGAACTTCTCAAATAAATCATTAATTAATTATGTTAGCAACTCTCTATCTTTGATTTCCTCTATCAATGACACACGCATATCATATCAAAGTATAAATCCTTCTCCATAGTTTGAATAATACTTGCATAGTTCTTACATCATTTTTAAAAATTTAATGAAGATAAGAATTTCTAAAAATTATATAAGAAAATAGTTTTAATCCATTTTATTTATAAAAAATGATGAAAAATTATTTGAATTGTACTTGAAGAAATATAACAAATGATTGCTTTAATCATTCTATACCAAAAAAAATTATATAGGTTACTCAATGAAAAAATGATCGAATACAAATAAAGTAATGCACATTGAATTAAATTAAATGGGCTCTAAATTAATAGTATAATCTAGCAAATCAACTAATAATAACATAGAAATATTGACAAATATGTAGTCCTTCCCTATCGTCTTTGTATTATATTCATTAATTTCATATATCATATAAAAGTTTTACTCATTTCAATCATTCAATAAAATAAGGATGAAGAAAACAAATTTGATAAGAAATTGATTCTAAACTTTATTATTGCAAAAAACAAAAATTTCAAAGCGAAAATTTAGAGATGGGGTTGAAGAAATACTATAACGAATGACAGCCTTATAAAAAAATAAAATAAAATAAAATAACATAACAATGATCTAATGCAAATTATTTTAACAACTAATAGAAAGAATATCTAATTATTACCTTATATGAATATAGTAACGAAAATTAATTTTGTGAGATTTTTATGCAGCCTTCTCCCATGCAGCCTTTATTATTTTGTTATTAATACTATTCTCATTCAAAACCAACCAATTTCATTATTAATACTTTATTTACAAATGGGATTGAAGAAATACTATAACGAATGACAGCTTTATAAAAAATAAAAATAAAAAAACATAACAATGATCTAATGCAAATTATTTTTAATAACTAATAGAAAAAATATCAAATTATTACCTTGTATAATTATAGTGACGAAAATTAATTTTGTGAGATTTTTGTGCTGCCTTCTCCCATGCAGCCTTCATTATTTCATTATTAATACTCTTCTCATTTAGAGTCATCCAATTTCATTATTAATACTTTTATCATTCAGAGTCAATAATTTTTTTTTAATCTTTATCACTTAGTGGATAATATCGAAGAAAAAAAATTATCAAGATAAGGTTAAGAATTTAATAGGAGATAAGAAGTTATAAATAAAGGCATTTCATAAGATAAAAAATTTAAAATAAAAAAAGATAATATGTGATAGAAGGAGGGGAAAAAATGAGTAAATCAAAATAAAGATTTAGATATATATGTTTTTGATAGATATATAGATTAACAAATCATATCTTTATCTAAATTTTATTATTTTAATTTTTTGTAAATCAATTATTTAATCTTTATCTCTATTTGTAGACCACGGAATTAGTCTTTATAAATTATTTGTCAATTCTTATATGTTTATTTATCTATAAGTCATGAAATTAATTTTTTAAAATAATTTTTAAAATTTTTATCTTTATCTATAGGTCATGAAATAAATTTTCATAAATTATTTATGAATTTTTATATGTTTATCTAAAATGAAATTAATTAAAGTACAAAACGAAGGGGAAAAAATTGAGAAATTTCGTTTTTTTTTAAATCAATTATTTAATCTATATATTTATTTGTAGGCCATGAAATTAATTTTTATAAGTTATTTATTGACTTTTATATTTTTATTTATGGAAAAAAAATTAAATTATCTATAAGTTATGAAATTAATTTGTTTAGATTAATTGTTTAATTTTTATCTTTATTTGTAGACTATAAAATTAATTTTCAGTTTTTATATGTTTATCTATATAGAGGATTCTCATTCAAAGCCAACTAATTTCATTATTAATACTCGCCAATAATTTTTGTTTTTAATCTTTATCACTTGGTAAATAATAACGAATAATAAAAATTATAAAGAAATGGTTAAGAATTTAATAGGAGATAAGAAGGTATAGATAAAGGCATTTCATAAGATAAAAAAATTAAAATAAAAAAAAAGATAATATGTGATAGAAGGAGAAAAAAATATAAGTAAATCAAAATAAAGATTTAGATATATATGTTTTTGATAAATATATAGATTACCAAATCATATCTTTATCTAAATTTTATTATTTTAATTTTTTGTAAATCAATTATCTAATCTTTATCTTTATCTATAGGCCATGAAATTAATCTTTATAAATTATTTATCAATTTTTATATGTTTATTTACCTATAAGTCATGAAATTATTTTTTTTTAATTTTTATCTTTATCTATAGGTCATGAAATAAATTTTTATATGTTTATCTATAATGAAATTAATTAAAGTACAAAATCAATTATTTTTTTTAAATCAATTATTTAATCTTTATCTTTATTTGTACGCCATGAAATTAATTTTTATAAGTTATTTATCAATTTTTATATGTTTATTTATGGGAATAAATTTTAAATTATCTATAAGTTTTGAAATTAATTGTTTAATATTTAATATTTATCTTTATTTGTAGGCCATGAAATTAATTTTTATAAGTTATTTATCAACTTTTAGATGTTTATTTATTGGAAGAAATTTTAAATTATCTATAAGTTATGAAATTAATTGTTTAATTTTTATATTTATCTGTAGACTATAAAATTAATTTTCAGTTTTTATATGTTTATCTATATGGAGGAATTTTGAAATTCAAATCTTTATCCATAAGCAATGAAATTAATTTTAATTTTCATTAATCAAACAAAATGAAGAAAGATAGAAAATATGAAAGGCAATCAAAGAAGGTTGCCACGTATGAAAAAGAAAGTTTTAAAATTATAAGAATTTACGAATAAATATTTGAAGGCTTTTGACAAAATAACTATATTTGATTATGTATATAGTATAGATAGATAGATAGATATAGATTTCAGACCTAACATAAAAATAAATAAAAAAAACCATATAACCTCAAATCTTGGTATGGCAACTACTTTTCGGAATTTTTTTTTTTTATAATTTCTTTTATATCTGCTTTTTAGCTTTTTGCGGATCGGCTTTCATCTAAAAGTTATAGATAAGGGTTAAAGACATGTTTAAAAAAAAAAAAAACCTAACTAATTTTAAAAGTTGTTGTGGAGTCGACTAAAACAAAGATTTTGTTCTCAATTAATAATAAAAAAAATTTAACAGTCATTCAGAATTTTTATTCAAAATTTTATTAAAAAAATATTAATGTATGAATCAAATTTATTTTATATATAAATTTTAAAATATATCAATTAAATCTCAATCACTCTTTTTTTTCCTAATTTTTTCCAATTTTCAATGTCA